GCGCGCGCGTAGCCCTACGGCCCGCCTCGGTCCTCCCTTCGCCCGGCCCGCACTCGGCCGGTCGGTCCTTGAGGGGCGCGGGTTCGCCGTGTGGAAACCGGCCTCAGGCTGGCGGCCGCCGTCCAGCGGACCGGCCTCCAGTTCTGAAAGCTGCTGTTGTCATGGCGCGTGGGGGCCCAGCTGCTGCGAGGCGGCTCGTGGTCAGGTGGTTCTTGTTTGGATCCCCAGACCAGCAGCATTTTCGTTCAACGTTTTATTATGAAAATTTTCCGAGGTACAGCAGAGTTTAAAGAATTTTACGGTGACCATCACACCTGCTGTATAGATTCTACCATTAACATTTTTCTGTACTTGCTTTCTCACATACCTATCCATTTATCCATCTTATCTTTATGCATTTCGAACTTACTTACAAGTGTTAAGATGTCCCGTAAATATTTATACGTATTAAATATGGTTCATTTATGTTAGTTTTTTTATTTCAAGAATTTACAATGAAAAGCAGATATCACAAGTATGCATTTGCTGAATTTTCACAAATGCGTGCATCTGCGTAACCCAAACACACCCTTGTCAAGATGCAGAACATTCACCACTCTGGGAAATTCCATCGCGCCCTTTTCCATCCACCCCCACCCCACCCCCGAGAAGCAACCGCTGCCCTGCTTGTTCTCTGCCATAGTTTTGCGTGTTCGAGAACTCCGATCCATGAAAACAACACATCTCACACTGTTCCATGTGAGGCTTCTTCCGCACAGCAGAACTGAGATTTCTCCCATACCCCGTACCGGTCATCCTAATGCGTTTTGTATTGCTGAGTAGCACTTCACTGCACGAATATGCCACGTTTTCTTATGCCCTGTATCCACGATCATCTGGTCTGTCTCTCATTTGGGGCTGTTGTGAGTACAGCTCCCAGGAGCATTGTGCAAATCTCTTTGTAGACACATGATTTCATTTCTCTTGGATAAATAGTTGGGAATGAAATGGCTGGGTCATAAGAGATTTTTTTTTTTTTTTTTAATGAAACCACCAGGTTAATTCCTCAAAATTGTATCATTTTACACTCCCAACACAATATACGAGTATTCCAGTGGCTACATGTCCTTGCTGACATTTTGCGTTCTTTTTAATTTAGCCGTTCCAGCTGGCACGCAGTGATTTCTACCTTGCACTGTAACCGACTTTTTCCTGTACTTGAAAACCAGGATGATGAACTGGAACCCTCTAGTGCCTGTCACTATCCTTTAATGTAGTAGGTTTGGAATAAACATGAAATGAAGGCAATAAATGAAAGTTTTACACCTAGTTTGGTGAATTTGACGTGAAAAGAATTTTAAGCTGTGAAAACGTGTAGAGGTCAATTTGACCTGACGGTTGTTAAATAGTTAAACTTTATTTCAATTAAGAATTATTTTTTATCCCAAGAACGTATTTATATTGCCGATTTTTCACAGGTGCAGAGGATGGAAAATGTACACCTGGCCCCAGAGACAGATGAAGATGACCTTTATTCTGGTTACAATGACTACAATCCAACCTATGATACCGAGGTAAGAAACTAGCTGTTTCTCACGTTGGTCTTTGTTGAGCAGCTGGTTCATTAAAAGCTTGGGCTCAGCTTTGTTTTGCTTTAAATGAAGTAAGCTGGTTAGAAACCTAGAAAAGTGCAGTTACTGCAGACTCTACTAACTCCAAGGGACGATGACAACAGCAGCAGGAGGGGACTCGAGGACGCCGTGGAAGCACAGCTGGGTCAGGCACACACTCGCGTTCTCCAGCATCAGCCAACTGGGGGTGCGGGGCGAAAGGTCACTTGAAGTCCCTAAAACAAGTTGTTTTTTTTTTAATGCTCTAAATTTGAAATGTCATATAGTTATTTTACTTCTTTTAATTATATAAGTATTTTATACAAAAATCTGAAAATAGAAATAGGTATAAAGAAAAATTAAAATCATAGAAATTGTCACTACTGAGAGAGAACGGTTAACTGACAGTGCTTATCTCACCAAGCACTTCCCTATGCACATATATGTGTATCCGTCATAGGTGTCATGCTGTGTGTACTGTTTTGTAACCTGCTTTTTCTCTTATTAATATCCATTTATGTCAAGTCTATATCTGCTTCATATTTAGTGGTATAGTAATTTAGAAGGTAAAGTTGTTATTAAGACAAATATTTGAATATTTTAATTCTTTTTACATCATTGTGAGAGTTATAGTTTCTGAATCGTAAAAAAGCAAACAAAACCTTTATAAACTTACTTTCAATTAATGTGTGAAAAAAGTAAGGATGAAGGATGTGGGAATTAATTTACTTGCTAGTATAGAAGAATCAAATATTAGCATTTATAGGACTTTAATTTAGGAAATCTCATTCTAGTCTAGAGTTTTTCATGTAACTTTTAGTCATTTTTTAATTATTTTTTTCTTTGGAGAAAAATGGTAGACTGAATTTGAGACCTAGACAGAAAACAAGGAAAGGAAATGGAAATCATTCACTTTCTCTAAATGAAATAAAAATCTAGGAGATACAGATCATTGTAGAAAATTTGAAAAACAAAGAAGATTGGAGAAAAAATAAAATGACCTATAACCTGTCATCCAGACATCACCTATATGAGCATGTCATCTGATGCTTTGTTGTATCCCCTTGTCTTTTAAAACACATAACAAACACACACACATACACAGTTAGGGTTACATAGACTCCTTTCCAAAAGTTTGTGTGAAAGCAGGCATTTTCCTAAGTTAGTGTAAGTTATGAAAACCACTGATGTCTCCCCCTTCCTCCCAGTTATAAAAGTTATATGTATGAAAAATATGTAGCTCATCGCTGAAAAACAAAATTACCCATAATCCCATCACTCAGAACTATCTACTGTAAACTTTTTGTTATTTTTCTTTCCTTCATGCATACTAAGTTTTAGCATGTTTGAATTGAATTAGCATTTACTTTTTCTCTTTGCTTTTTTACATTTAACTGCATCGTAAGCAAAGTTTCATGATACTAAAAATTGAAATAAATATAATTTTAATGGCTATGTAATACCGAATACATATAGTTGATTATAACTATTTTCTGATCATAAGGTATTTATTTCCAATTTTATACTGTTGTAAATAACTGCAATGCAGTGAACAATTTTATGCATAAATAACTTTATGTATTTCGATCAAACATTTTCTTGGATAGAGTTCCAGAAATGTAATCAACAGATCTTAAATATGGCCAGAGAAACTTCCTAATGCCAGGTCATCACAGTCTGGCTTCGTTATTTCATTTGAAGTGAATATTCAGAATATCAGACCAAAAGTGAATCATGCAGTAAAGCAAAAGTGATATTTGGTATACTCGTGGTTTTCTTATATCTTAATTAACTGGAATAATAGCAAGTTTAATATATAGCTGAATTACTTGAAACAGTTGCTAAACTATTCTCTAGATTATACAAATTGTTAATCAAATCCTAGATTATACAAATTGTTAATCAAATCCTAGTTTTAACTCCTAGTTATATTTTACTTTGTCTTTAGAGTTTTTAAAAGTTCATTGATATTGACTCTATTTTTGTGTATCGTTTGTATTTATTTTTAATAATTAAGTATATTTTTGTGGAAAGTACAGTAGCCCCCCCATCCATGGGGGACATGTCCCCAGACCCCCAGTGGACGCCTGAAACTACCAGCAGCGCTGAACCCTGTATCTGTGTACTCCATTTTCCCCCACACATACACACCTGTGATGAAGTTTAATCTATACATTAGGCACAGTAAGAGAGTAACAACTACTAATAAAGTAGAGCAGTGATCACCATCTACTGTAATAAAGTTATGTGACTGTGGTCTTTCTCTCAAAATCGTGGTCAGACGAATCATAGGGGATCTTGAACACCAAACGGAGGAGCTCAACACGTTTTAAAAAACTCTCACTTCAAATTGAATGTTAAATTTGCCTTTCATTTTAGGAATTGGAGAATGACACAGCTTTTCAGCAAGCTGTGAGAACTAGTCATGGCAGAAGACCGCCGGTATGTGAATTTTTTTTTTATTGTAGTAAAATACACATAACATAAAATTTACCATCTTAACCATTTAAAAATGTACAAATAACTTAGCATTAAATATAGGTGTTGAATATAATCATTCACATGTTTGTGCAGTCATCACCACCATACCCCCATAACTCATCCATCTTCCCAAAAGAAACTTCGACCCCACTCAACACTAGCTCTCCACTCCCCTCCCCTAGCCCCTGCACTCACCCTCCTACTTTCTGGCCCTATAAATTTGACTACATTAGGTACCTCTGATAAGTGGCGTCACACAGTCTTTGTCTTTCTGTGTCTGGCTTATTTCACTGACCACAGTGCCCTCGAGGTCCATCTACATTGCAGCAGGCGTCAGAATCTCCTTCCTTTTCGAGGCTGAGTGATGTTCCACTGTGTCTGCACCACATTTTGGACACTTGGGTGTCCCCACCCCCTGGCTGTTGTGAACAGGGTGTGCGCATGTCTCCTTGAGACCCTGCTTCCAGTCCTTTGGGTGTGTACCCACAAAGGGGATTGCTGGGTCTTACGCAGTCCTCTCTTTAATTTTTTTTTCTTTATCCCCCTCTTTAATTCCCCCCACCCTCACCACTTCCACCCCTGACCTGTGGATGTTGCTGTTTCTCCTTAAGAACTGGATCTCTGAAGGCAGACTGTCACCTCCCAGCCCCTCCCACACGCTCCTGGCATGCACCTGGGGCCTGGCCTGTTGCTCCACCTGGGGCGCGAACCCAGGACCTTCTGCATGTATAGCAGACGTGCTAACCGCTACACTCTGGAGCCACACCCTCTGTTTAATTTTTTGAGGAACCTTTATGCTGTTTTCCATAATAGTTGCACCAGTTCAGATTTCCACTAGCAGTGCACAAAAGTTCTAATTTCTTCACAACCTTGCCAACACTTATAATTTTCTCTTTTTTTGAGGGTAGCAATTTTAATGGTTATGAGGTGATTCTCATTGTGGTTTTGGTTTGCATTTCTCTGATGATTAGTGAGGTTGATTATCTTTTCATGTGCTTGTTGCCCACTTGTCTATCATCTTTGCTCATTTTTAAACTGGGTTACTTGATTTTTTGTCGTTGAGTTCTGGGAGTTCTGTATATTAACCCTTTATCAGATATATGATTTGCAAATATATTCTCCCATTCTGCAGATTGCCTTTTTACTCTGTTGATTGTATCTTTTGATGCAAAAACATTTTTAAGTTTGGTATCATCTCGTTCATCTATTTTCACTTTTGTTGCCTGTGCTTTTGGTGTCATGTCCAAGAAATCACTGCTGAGTCTGATGTCATGAAACTTTCCCCTATGTTTTCTTCCAAGAGTTTTATAGTTTTAGGTCTTACGTTTAGGCTTTTAGTCCATTTTGAGTTCACTTTTGTGTATGGTGTAAGATGAGGGTCCAACTTCATTCCTTTGCATGTGGCTATACAGTTTTCCAAGCACCATTTGTTAGAGAGACCGACCTTTCCCCTCTGTGTGGTCTTGGTCCCTTGCTGAAAATCATTCGATCATATACATCAGGGTTTATTTCTGGGCTCTTTATTCTGTTCTGTTGGCCTATTTTTCTGTCTTTATGGCGGTACCACACTGTTTTCATTACTGTAGCTTTGTAATCTGTTTTGAAAGTGGCAAGTGTGAGTTCTCCAACTTTGTTCTTTTTAAAAATTGTTTTGGCTATTCAGGGTCCCTTGAGATTCCAAATGAATTTTAGGATGAATTTTTCTCTTTCTTCAAAAACTATCGCTGGGATTTTGGTAGGGATTGCATTGAATCTGTAGATTGCTTTAGATAGTATAGACATCTTAACAATATTTTTTCCAATCTGTGAACACAGATGTCTTTCCATTTATTTGTATTTTCTTTAATTTCTTTCAACACTGTTTTGTGGTTTTCAGTGTATTCAGTAAGTGAATTTTAAGGTATTTTAGATCAAAGAATTTTTTATGCTTTTAAGAATATGTAAAGCATTGGAATATGTTTCCCTAAAACACTCATTGTTTTAAAAATATTTGCCTTTCTAGTTTTTGAAGTTACATAAATATCGATCCTTCAAAACATTGGGGCTTAATTTACAAATCGCTCCTCCCTTGGGTAAATGACCCCCCATTAATTAATCTTCCACCAGTAATAAACTGCCAGAGTGATTCTTCAGTAATATTAAAATTTCTATGTACATCATGCAAAGCATAGACATCTGTGCTTGCACAATGCACAAAATCTGCCAAGCTTCTTTTGTGGTTGAAAATGAACGAAGTTGGCGCTAAATGAAATAGTGATGTATAGAAAGTTCTGTCCATAATGTTTCTTTTTTTAAAACTGCTTCTCCCCACTTGCCCACTCCACATAGCAGTGGTTCTCAGTTTCCCCCTACACCTGCCCCTGGGGACATTTGCCTTGGAGATATTTTGGTTGTCACAACTTGGGTGACTGCAACTGGCACTAGGAGGCAGCAGGCGGAGATGCTGCTAAACGCCATACAGTGCATGCGACAGCCCCCACCCCTCGGTAAGGAACTGTCCGGCTGAGGGTCAGGGGTGCCGGAGTCGAGAAGCGGGGTGCAGCAGCCGCTCTGCTTTGCCGAAGGGCCCCGCCCCCACCTCCCTCAGCGATCACTTCTTCCCGCTCCTCTCCCTCACATGTACTGTTTAGCAAAGTGGAGGCCGGCACTAACCCACTGAAGACAGAGGGGCTGCGAGCAGCTTGCCCAGCACGTGATGCCAGTGAGTTTAGCACGGCCCCTGCATGCAGGGGACACTGTGCTCGCTTCCAATACCAGCTGCAGATCGGGGCTTCCAGACTACCTTCGGGGTTTGTGATTTTCTGACGAGGTTCGCGGGACTCATTGGCAGCTGCCATCCTTGAGGTTTATTGCAGGGGACGTTCGCAGATTAAACGCCACCAAGGGCAGAGACACACAGGGCAGAGTCTGGAGATCCAAATGTGGAACCTCCCATCGTCCTTTCCCGTGGAGTCCTAGGTGGTGTGAATGCCCGCCGGCCACCGAATGTGACCACAGGGCAATATTTATGAGTATGGCCACCCAGGCAAGCCCAGCCATGACTTTGGTGTCCAGTTTTTACTGGACTCCGGCACATACTGTCCGCAGGGCTGACCATTAGCTTCCAGCCCTCCTGGAGGTCAGGGCTGATACCTCTGGAGGTTGGCACTGATAACTGTGTGCCCCAAGGTGCCCGCTGTAAGTCACGCTGGTGCACTGCGTGGTGGGCAAAGCCCCCAGGTAAACAAAGACTATCAGGCAGGCGCTCCATGGGCCTCAGGTCACCTCCCAGTCGTTGACTTATGACTGCACACTCCACAGCTTTGCATTGATTTTAAGTCATCTTCATTACGGAAGGAAAACCACAGGCTGAGTTCTCCGCTAGGCTGATAACTGGCTGCTACGCTTTGAAGAGGCAGGCTGGCCTGCTCATTGCTCTTTGCACACTGCAGCTGCTTCCTAAGTCATCCTCTCATGGCGTGGTCTAAATCTGCGAACATGTCTCCGGTGTAGTGATCTCGGGGATCAGACACCAGGTGATGATTTCACCAGGCCAGCCCTTCCATGACCTTTAGATGTGACCTCAGAGACCCTCATTTTATAGCTGAGGACACTGAAGCCCAGATAGGCCAGTGGTCTCGCCGCTGTCTGAACCTGGGGTAGAGCTCAGGTCTCTTGACCCCTGCTGAATGATACTGTCATCGCTCCTACTTGTTACATTAAATGGGAAAATTGTGCACCTTTCCCATGAAAGGAGGTGGGCTCACTTACGAGGGGTGACCTGCTAGCTCCTAAGGGCCTTTAATCTTAGGAGAACAGAATGGACTCGGACACGACAAGGCGGATGTAATGAGGGCCGTGAAAGAGAGGCAGTGCTGGGGACTAGGAAGGGTCCTTGCCACTACTTGCCACTGGTTGGGACAGTCAGAGAGGCTGGGTTCGAGGGTGTGGCAGTTCAGACTGGCTTGGAGAGGTGGAGAAGGGCATGAGGGTGAGGTGCAAGGCAGTCCCACTGTGTCCGAGAGCTGTCCAGTGCTGAAAATAACAAGCGGGAAAACAGGTTTAGTTGAGAAAGAGGTTAAAAAGAATAATAGTCTCTTTCCTTCAGTTTGTTTTCATGGAAGAAAGTGCTGAACCCTGTCCTTCCTTTTCTGCTTTTCTAAGACCTGTTATCTGTCAATTAAGTCAAATTTTTTAATGTTTTTTAAGCGTTCTATACTTTTACTGATTTGAGGGCCTACTAATTCTGTTATTAATAAGAAAAATACAGTCAGTTTTACACTACGATTATCAATTTCATTTTTAGCTTTTTGCTTTATATGTTTGGAGGAAAAATATAAATATTACATTTTCATGGTGAATCGAGGCTTTTAATTGTTATGAAGTGTCCTTCTGTCTCTAGGAGCGCTGTTTGTCTGTTTCGTCAGGTGCGAGTCTATCGAGTTTACCCGCTCTCCTTTATTCATGTTTGCATATGTCTTCCCCAGCTTCTTACTGCCGCCTTTTCTAGACTCATCTAAGATGTGTTTCTTATTAGCAGCATTTAATAGAGTTTCTTTTTAAATACAGTCTGATAATCTTATTCTTTTAGTGAAGTATTAGTCCATTTACATGTAGTTAAATTACCGATGTGGTTTAAATTTATTGTCATACTATTTGGTTTTTGTTTTTCCTGCCTCTTACACTTCATTTTCTTACTTGCCTTCTTTTGTTTGATTTTTTTTTATTCCGTCCCCTCCAACTGTTATCTTTGGAATTTACATCTTTAACTGTTCTTTTAGTGTTTTCCTAAAGATTACAATACTCATTTTTAACTTACCAAGGTATAGCATAAATTCATATTTTACTACTTCTTGGACAGTGCCAGCATTTTACATTATTTTCAGTTCTAGAATTCCCATTCTTTTTTAAATAGCTTTCGTTCTCTGCTGAAGTCGTCAGTCTTGTGTTTTAGTTCATCGGACACACTGAGCATAGTTACGTTGAAGTCTGTGCCTGACGTTTTTGTTACACGTGTCACCTCTGGCTTTCTTCTCGTTCTTTTATGCTCTTAGCTCTTGGTTAGATAGTCTTGCCTCCCATATATCCGGTTGTTTTTGATTGAATGCCAGACATTGTAAATAAAGAATTTTAGAGATAATTCAGGCTATATGTCTGTACTGTCCAGTATGATAACCACTAGCCATGTGTGGCTATTTACATTTAAATTATTTAGAAATAAAATGTCGAAATTGAAGTATTGTTACACTAGCCACATTTCCAACACCCGACAGCCAGGTGTGGCTAGTGGCCGATGGAGCAGACAGGATATTTTCATCACTGCAGCAGATCATCACTGCCTCCATGTTCTCTAACGTATTCAAACTGATTTTTTACAAAAGTAGTTTTGTCCCCAGCTTTTTAGTTCTTAGTGGCAAAGTCGTTTAAATCAGTAGTTCATCATAGCTAGAAGTAGAGCTTCTCTACTGATGTTTTAATCAGACATTTCTGATGAACGTGCCTAACAGCTGACGTGCTGAGGCTGATCCCACCTACGTGATCCCATTGCTCCAGATACCAGTTTGTGACTGGCTTACCTGGCACCCTTATTTCAAAGGCAAGACAGTTTAGGTTGAAAGAAATTAAATAAACTCAGCTAGTAGAGGCATAGCCGACATTCAAACCCAGGCGCTCTGACTCCAGATCCTGTGCCCGTTGTCGGACAGAGTGGCTGGTGATAATAAGCATGACAAATGAGAGAAGCCACCAGGAAAACTGACTTCTCCTGTTGGCACCTCAGGTCTTTCTAAAGTCCCTGTCCTCCTTCAAAATGAACCCCAGCGTAAGTCTTCTTCTCGGTGCTTAAAATACCTTCTCCTTAGTATTTAGGATGATTCAAAAGAAATTCTAAATAACATATAAACATTTCTCTATTGACTAGTCTGTAATTTCCACTTTTCCAGTTTTCTATTATATAGCTTAATCTGATTTCTATTAACTATGTTTTTTCTCCCCAAGATAACTGCTAAAATACCAAGCACAGCAGTTACTAGACCTGTACCTACTGGATATGGGGTAGGTTTTCCTAAGCTGCAAATATTAAGATGCTTTTTTTCATACATAGTTCACGTTAGGCCATTCTGAATACTTTGGCTAGCTTTCCGCCCATGACCCAGATATATTTTCCATTTTGGATAGTTATGAACATTATAAAGTCTCATTTGATTAATAGCTTTGAATGTTCTAGTCATTTTGATTATAATTTTTTAGAAAACATTTTATTACTTTTTTCTATTTGTAAACATCGTGTTTGTTGATTGACTTCCTTTCATTTTCTATATGATATAGCCAAGTCTCATGTATCTCATTCGTATATTTTATGTAAAGTTGGATGTTAAATAAATGTAATGATGTTTGTAAATTTTAAAAACTTACTAATAAATATATGAAAAGATAAAATTTAAGAAAAATTTCAAAAGCACATATCTGGGATTTGCTTTCATTTGAGATCTTTGGAGGAAAGATGCTATATAAAAATCCATAGAGGAAAATCTTTTAAATCTTGCCCAAATTTGGATGTTTTAGCTTACATAAAATATTAGAGGAATGGGGGGGAAATAGGAGAATGAGATGGGATAGCATCTCCTCGTCTTTATAATATATTTTGTAGGGTCAGAGAAATAGTTTCAGTAACTAGAGGTCCAGGGCACTAGCCTTTGTGCTGTCCCTTTATATGAAAGAAGAAAGTAGCCTTGTACTCAAAGTCACTGTGCCATGTGACAAGCAGCCTGCACGTGGATTCCTTGTGAGTTTGCTCCTTGGTGATGCGTTAGAGCAGGAGACGGCAGGCATTTCTGTGAAGAGCCAGACGGTTTATTTAGGGTCTGCAGGTCAGACAGCCTCTGCCACAGCACCCACCCCCACCCTGCATTCACAGTGCAGGAGCACCTCGGGAAGGGGCGTGGCTGTGTGCCATAAACCTTCGTTTACAAAGGCTGGGTTTGTAGTTGGCTGACACCTGCTTTAGAGTTGTATTTTCTGGTCCTATGTCCTCAGGTGAGCAATGGAAAAAATTATATTTCGGTTTACTTGCCGGTAGATTGAAGAAAAAAGTTATGAAAAAACTTTTACAACTTGGTGTATAAAATTAAATGTAGGCTTTTTTGGAATTATTTTAACTTAGTTTTCTGTTCACTAGTCCAAGACATCCCTGGTATCATCGATGGGAAGACCGATGACGGGGGCTATCCAGGTATCCCTGTCACATGGCATTACGTGTGGGGCCTCTCTCGTGACTTAGGATATTATTGCCAAAGTCTTCTTTTCTTTATTATTCTAGTTTAAAATGTTAAAGAAGATTTTAATGATAGAGTGACCTTGACTCTTTCAATTGTGGCTAAAGGTTGGACTGTTTGAAATCTTTGGATTTACTCACCGAGATCTCAGAGGACCTTGCACTGGGCAGGGGACACAGGGACTGACAGTTGGCTTGAGCAGCGCACTCTGGGACCCTTTATTCCTGTGTTGTCCTTTACAACAATTTCTGTGGTTTCTCCCATGGGCATAGATCATCAAAAGTCATCAGCTACATAAAGGTGCCATGTAAAAATCCATGAGTTTTTTTTCCTTTTCAAGCTGCGAGGAAGGCCCTTTAGAGCAAGAAACTGCAGTTATATAGGGGAAGGGAAGTTAGAGACAGGACTGACACGGGGGAGGCAGGCGTGCAGAACCAGCAGATGGCGATTAAAAGTCAGTGTTAAGGTGGTGCGACGTGTGGAGCTGGAAAGACGAGGCAGAACAGATGGAGGAATACTTTTAAGTGATTCTTATTCTTTTAAGGATGGAGTTACTCGACCCATGACAGCAGTGAGAGCAGCCGGCTTCACCAAAGCAGCGTTCAGAGGTATGTTGTATTACGTCTCCTAATTTTTTTCAGATCTTTTAACATTTTTTACTGTTTTGGTATGTGTAAAGATTAGTACTATTCTAAATAAAACCTAACACGCCATCGATTATGAGGTGGGCCACGATGTTAGGCCCCGTTAAGAAAGGGAAGAGGGGATGGAAGTATTCTGCATCTCAGTTGAGTGGTAGTTACAGCAGCATGTGCTTTGTTACAATGTACCGGATTGTACATTAAAAATATATGCATTTTATTTTATGTAAGTTAGAGCTCAATTTAAAAAAATTAAAGACACAAATAATATTTAAATGTATGAAAACTTAAATAATTTTAAAATAAAATTATTCTGACAATTAATGTTTATTATACCAATAAGGACAATTAAAAAGGCACTACCAGGTTATGACTCACATGATTGATAACTTAAGAGTTCACACTACGGATAGATTACTGTGAGGGAGAAGTAGATACCGAGAGAGTATCTCATGTTTGTTTTTACATGTAAATACACAGATTTCATTTACATAGTTTTATGTAAACGGTTTCACCAATTTCTCGATATATAAAATGTTTATGTAGATATAAACGTCCTGCCTATTCAATAAGTAGGTAATCTAAGCCACTTAATTAGTAATTAAGTAACTTGTGCCAGGTTTCATAATTTTCTTCACTTACTCTGGGGCGCAGATTAAACGTGACCTCTTGGATTGTGTCTCAGGCACGGCGTTTGACCCCCTTGGCCAGGCAAGGGGCCCTGCCCCTCCTCTGGAAGCCAGAAATGAAGACAGGTACGTGCGTCCTCATGCTGATGCTTTGTTGCTGTGGATTTTTATTTTCATTTTCCAACTACGTATTTCTTAGGTATTTTAAGTTTATGTCAGCAGACCTGTAATCAAACCGTCGCCCCTAGTTCTTGGAACCAGCTAAAGAATCAAGTCTAAGAAAAATGGCCTTGTGTATTCTGTGTAGTTTTATGGTAATATTATTGGACTTGAAGATAGGTCTGATTTCTACGGATGCCAGTGTTGATTCTCTTGAAGGCCAGTGGGGTTATAAATGGACTAAGACATGCTTATTTTAAAAGGACATTTCAAAGAGAAAAATCAAGAGTCGATTAAGAAGTCAATTTTCATATCAGTGTTGAGAAGTTTACTTTACTGAATTCACTTAGTTTTGTGCTGGTGACGAGGGAAGCCAAAGAGCCCCTTGCGCCCCTGGTCGCATGCGCTGGCGTGTGCGTTTCACAGACAGCGTAAGAGCCCGCACTCACTGCGTGCGGGCTGCGCGCCAGGCACTGTGCTCAGGGCAGGCCCGGCTGCCGTTAGCCTCAGTTCACAGAAGGAGAGAAACAGCACAGAGGCCTGGACTCAGCAGTGCCGGGAGATGGCAGGACCGAGGTCGGAATCCGGGCTGTTTCCACGGCCCACGCTGTTCGCCACAGTTTTGCTTCTGTATCATACATTTTTAAGTCGTCGTTCGTAAACCCGGTGTTTGGGCTATTCTATAAATTACACGATTTCCCTTTTCGACTGACAAGAAAACCATGGAAAATCAGTTTACCTTGTATTCTGGTTAATGATGGCATGTCTGCTGATAAATGTTATTTTATTTAAATATTATGTCATTCTGGATCCTTTTGGCTGCTAACAGAAGATACACCAGAAACACACACACACAACCACACACTAAGAACATTTGTTATGTAACAGGAAGTCTGGAGGAGGGCCAGGCGGGGTGGGGAACAGAACTGCTCGGGTGCACCAGCCCGGGCTCAGCGTCCCTCTGATCCCTTGGCGTTTCTCAACGGCTGCCCAGCCTCGTGGTGCCAGGAGGGCCGTGAACGCTGAATGTCTCCACAGAGCCAGAAAGTTCAGACTTAGGTCCCTTTTAAAAAAGCAAAGGAAGTCTTCCCAGGACCCCTGTCCCTCAGGAAGGCCTGTCTTCACTTCTCATTTCTCAGGAACGCAGCGCTGGCCTGAGGCCGAACCCGGCACTTGGCAGGAGACTGAGACTCGCCCAGCTGCCTCCGCGTGCCAGGAAGGGTGGGGGGCCCAGCCGTGTCTGCAAACAAGCTCACTTTTTTAGCATTTGAGAGGGACAGGATAGTTCAAGTGTCTTCATGAAGTCCTCTTACAGATTTTTTCCTTTAAAATTTTATATTGATATTTTGGATTTAATAACTATAGGCCACATTTAAAGACATTCGAGTATTTCAGACAACTAGAAAACAGAATTCCATAATTTGTTGTAACCTTTATAAAACCACCATCTATTTGCTCAGTTAGAATTTTAACATTTTTGTAAACTAATAAAATTTGTAACCCCCCTGACTAAATTAATAGCTAGGTTCCACTGAAGAATATGATGTTACAGACAAAGTGATACTGTTAAATTTATTCTGGCATTATTTTAAAAAGTCCCATTTCTAGAGGATTAAGAGAACTACGATATAGTCCGATATATTTGTAGTAAAATTTTCCTTAGGCACTGATGTGCATTCGGGTGTCGTGATATTTTGCTGGAAGAAAGTGGCAGCAAAGTGACAGCGATGTCATCTGTGGAAGGAACTGATTTGGGGCAGTGTGTTTGCTACTAACGGAGTCGGGCTTCTAAGCCTCTCACCATGCTGCAAAACTTCTCTTGGTTCCCAGCTGGTAGGAAGTGAGAAGAATGATTATCTCCTTACAGGCCTTGAATTCTCCTAAGCATGAGAGGGAGTTTTCATCTGCCAGGACATCTGGAAAAAGGATCCACCTTCTCTGAGGGAAGATGATATAGTAGCGTAGGTCCTGTAACTACCTTGCTTGGGTTTACGTCCTGACGCTCTAACTTACTAGCTCTGTGATCCCTGGTGTAATGCCGAGCTCCCTAAACCCCTGTCCGTAAAGGAATAATGATAGTCCTTGGATCAAGTGTAACTGCAAGGGATAAACGGCATAATTAGGATGATGCATGTGGCCCAATATGAAATCACACTTGTGCTAAGTAAACGTTAGCTATTTTTACTATTGTGAATAATTATGTAGTGTAATTATTAAAAACAGTAGTACTTTTGCCATTTATACATTGGTCTTACCAATGACCTATTTTTAAAGTTTAAAAGCACTTATAATGGAAATGTTTAAATTTTAGTATGTTATCAGTGGTTGAATGATTTCCAAGTATACCTGCTTTTTTCTTTAACAGTCCAGAAGAAAAGATCAGACAATTAGAGAAGAAGGTAAATGAGTTGGTAGAAGAAAGCTGTATTGCCAATAGTTGTGGAGACTTAAAGTTGGTGAGTCATAAACTAGTAAGACTCGGGATCATGAAGTGTGTATATGTCTGTGTCTGGTTTTATCTGCGCACACGTGCACACATGCGTACAGATAAATGGGCTTGTTTTGCTATTGACTAGCCTTTGAGTTGTCACTGAAGCAATCATTTTGAGAACCTGCAGTTGTAACTGCTTCATAAGCTCTGATGTCAGAACAATTGGCTGACTTTAACTTTTGACGTTGGTCATTTTGGCCGGGGAGAAGCATGCGCACGTGTCAGTCGATTAAATTTGTAGCTGGAGGACTGGGTTAGACCCGGCTGCTGGGCAGCTCCGAGCGGCGACCCGCACTGCCAGGCTCCCCCTCCCTCATGCTCCCCCTGAGCGGACCGCAGCCTGGTGCTGCGCGCTTCGCAGACCCCACCCTGCTCTTTAAAATTATTAAATATTTCCTCTTCATTTGCCTTCGTTCACATTACTTTGATTGTCATACCATTTAAATATAATTTCTGTGACTTAGTTGTCAGATGAATGAATACCATTAGAAAGCATTGTTCAGTATGAAAAGCTACTTTCTTGCTCATAGAACTGGTGCTTTTTTATCTAGTTCAAAAAAAAAATGCATGTTGAATTGATCCGTCTGGGTCAGGCTCTCAGCGGAAATGAATGAAAGGTTGCTGGCGCTCCAAGCAGGAGGCGGGCCGAGCTCCGCACCTGCGAAACCGGGGTGCAGGCCCCCTTTGACTTGTCTGAAGCCAAACAAGTCCATCCAAATTCCTTCTCACGAGATGGAATTAAAATGCCCAGATATTCAGGACCCGGGAGAAGGCAGGAGAGCCGGCCTGGCCAGACATGCAGGTGTTGGGAGGTGGGGTGAGGAGACTTGAGGGGGGCAGACCCCTCTTCTTCCCCAGAGATCGCACTCAGCACTTTCGTGCTGGGAGTGCTAGTTTAAACAGCCTGGGTTCCTTCGCTTCGAGGGGGGCGTGTGTGCGGGGCGTCCGCGGCTGCTGCAGCTGCCGCAGCTGCGTGCAGTGCTTCCCAGACGCAGTGCAGCGATGCATGCTCAGCACGAACTTGATTTCAGGCCTTAGAGAAGGCGAAAGACGCGGGAAGGAAGGAGAGGGTGCTGGTGAGGCAGCGGGAGCAAGTGACGGCTCCAGAAAACATCAACCTGGACCTAACTTACTCCGTAAGTGTGACGTGAGTAGATGTTCCGGCAGGATTTGTGGGTTGCACAAGTCTTTTATCTTTTTTTTTTCTTTCTGGTTTTCTCCTCTTTTAAAAATCTTATCAGACCTCAGATGCCCAGAATAGATTAATAGTGATTTTGCTTTAGTTCATGAGACACTTTCATCTTTGGTCAGGGCAAACATCTATTTTTATTTAGTTAGTTAATTACTTGTTTTTAATAACTTAGTAAGAACTCACAAACCCACCATCCAAGAACTCTGTTTCTGGAAGATCGCTAATGTTTACGCTTTATTCAGTGCAGTTACTTTGATGAGATTCTAATGTGGACTTTTTGTCTGTGATTTTCTTTTTTTTTAATTTTTCAATTATACTTTACATTCAATATTTTTTTACACTTGTTTCAGCTGTATGCTCTATGATTTTCAAAAACTTCAAACTAGGCAAAAAAGACAATGTTCTGTGAGAGTAGTAAAAAACTCACTAATTTCTAGCAAAATTTCCTTAATTCTGAAACGACAGTTCCTTGATGTTTATACTGCTGTTTAAAAGGGTGTGTTTTCAGTGGGACAAGTCTTCATATGTCAAGCAGATGGGAAAAAGGACCATTGAAACTTTGAGTAAGGAGTTTTAGATGTTTACTATTTATAGCTAATATTTTAAAATTCCGTGGCATCTTTAGATTCAGGAATAACTTATAATGATTATTTTTTTACTTCTAGCAATGTAACTTATTATAACTTAATGACTTAAATTATAATCTTGCATTTAGAGAAATACTATTCAAATAAAGGTTTAAGGTATTTCCACCTTTAGTTACATTCGTGAGGAGAATTCGGTCCATTCTCTCCCTTGTTACCTTGCTCTAGCATCATGAACAGTGCATGCTGATTCTTTGTAGGTCTTCCTGAGGTAACGGGTGGCAAATGCTACCTAAATCGGAAGGAATACACAGACAGTCAAGGTGAAACTCAGAAGGCAGCCTTACCTGTCTCTCAATGCTCTGGTTCATTAGGAATGCAAGATTTTCTCGGTCTGCTTCATTTCCTGATTGGTTGGGTGTCTTGATATAAGCAGCTAACCTTTTATGGGATTTTAGTCCCCAGAAAGATTATAGAAAGAAGGGGCCTAAAATGGTCATTATGTGTTTTCTTGCAATATTGCTTTCCTCAGGTTCTCTTCAACTTGGCCAGTCAATATTCAGCTAATGACATGTATGCCGAAGCGCTAAACACCTATCAAGTTATAGTGAGAAATAAGATGTTTAGCAATGCAGGTAGGTGTACATAGTCAGTTTGTCTAATAAGTATAGTTTGTTTTTTTGTGTGCGTGGTGTTCATTTACATTTCCTTCCTTTTTTGTTTTTTTACAACGAAATGATCTATGCTGTAAATAAATTTATATTTATATAGAGGTGTCCTGCTTAAAGATACTGTTAATTTGAAAAGCCACACGAGTACAAATGAGGAAATACAATTGATATGAGGTATATTACCTAATAGTAAACAAACGGTGTGTCTGTCCTCACAAGGAGAATGAGCATGCAGCCCATGGAGCACGTGTTCCCTTATGTGGCTTGTCCCCAAGAGCCTATCATTTATATCTGGCATTTACATGTGTAATTTTTGGTGGTAGTATTGACGTTTATCACTATCATTTTCTTTAATATCACATTAAAATGTGAGTGGCGTTATCAAGTGTAATCATAAAATCCCCAAGATCCCATGTTTTCCCTGGAGGAACGCAACTCCAGCTTCATGCCGTGGCCCAGTTGTTCCCTAGCAGTGTTTTTAGGGCTCCATCTGTCTTAAGTTCCGTTTCCTCACAGAATCGTTGGTGTGTGAAAACATGAAAATAGTATAACTATTTTAAAGGGAGAATTTGGGGTAGTGGCTGAACCTTCATAACTTAAGAAAAGCTTCAAAGAATATGAATTAAGGTTATCTGAAATATCATAAAAAAGTGAAAAACATTGAATATTATACATTCATTCTCTTTTTAATTAGGAAGATTGAAAGTGAATATGGGAAATATTTATTTAAAGCAAAGAAATTATTCCAAAGCCATTAAATTCTACCGGATGGCATTAGATCAAATCCCAAGTGTCCATAAAGAAATGAGGTGAGTTTACGTAATGATAGCTTTGTAAAATTGCAGTGTTGCTTTTTAGAAACAGGATAACTCTGACCTGTTATCGGTGGGTTGAACGTTCTTAGTGCTGTACATGAGAGGTGTTAGATTTTTGGGATATCTGCAGTATTTTGGTCTGTCTTCTTCTGAGTAGTTGCACACATTTATATAATGACGACTTAAAGGTGTAGTAAGTGACCAACTGAAATAAAACTCAACCAATTGGCCCGTATAGGGAATGACCACTAAATACAGCTTACTGCCAGCACAGAGTCCAAACAGCGGTCCTTTAAGCTAGGGGTCCACCACCTTCTTGGCACTGGGGACTGGTGCTCCTAGGAGAATCTAACACCTGAGGATCTGAGGCGGAGCCGAGGCGGTGATGCTGGCGCGGGGATCGGCTGCACACGCAGATGGAGCTTTGCTCACTCACCTGCCACTCACCTGCTGCGGGGCCCAGTTCCTGACAGGCCACAGAGGGTACCGGTCCACGGCCTGGGGGTTGGAGACCCCTGCTTTAGCACATACCTGACTCCAGATGCAAGGCCAGGAATTCATTCGTGCCGTTGATTGAAAGTGCGCTCATGAGGGGAAGGCAGTGCCTCTCAATCCGAGAAGTCAGACGAGAGTGGAGCGGGCATGTTTTCTCCTCCCGTAGCATTTCAGAGCAGAGACAGCGAATCACTTTGTAGTCGGGTGGTAGCCTTGGGAACACAGACCGTTTCTGGGATATTTACTGGTCATCACTGCCCTAGGCACAGTACAGTATCTCCGTGCAAGTTAATTTATTTGTAAATGCCATCTTCAGTGATCACTTGTTTTTGAATTATGCATGGTATTGTATCTGCATCGGTAAATATCTGGCTTATAGAACAGTGCCCTTGAGGTACTTCTAACCAGGGGAGGCCAAGAAGTTTTGAACATTTTAGAAAAGGGTCATAGTATTAAACGGCGTATGCTAAGTGCTTAATCATCAGTAACCCAGAGGTGCTGTAGTTATTAGGCTGAGGGAACAATTACTGAGAACCAGAACCGTCAGGCTTTGTGAAGGAGGAGTTCTTGAGAGAGGCTGCCTAGTGAGGAGGGGAGGAGAGGAGCACGCGGACGGGGGGACGCCACGAGCAGCGCCAGCGGGAGCACGTGCTGGCAGTCTGAGCAGAGACTTGGGAATAAGTGAATTTAGTAGCAACAGAGGGATTGTGTTGAGGAGTGGTTAGAGATAAGATGGCATCACGACCTTTAGAATGTGCGTAATCAAAAGACAGATAATAACAAGTACTGAAGAGGACGTAGAGAAACTAGGAGCCTCATCCCCTGGGGACATAAAGTGGTACAGCCACTGTGGAGTTACTCATTATTAGGGAGTTCCTTAAAATTTAAACACAGGTTTACCACATGACCAGCAGCCCCACTCGCAGGTGTGTGTGCCCAAGAGAAATGAAAACACGTCGTCACAGAGGATTGTGTGCAAATGTTCATAGCAGCATTATTCACCGTTGCCCAAAGTGGAGACAGTCGATGTCCATCGGGTAGGCCGTGGGCAAAGAACGTGGCCCGCCCATCCTCTGGAACACGAGCCGGCAGTGTAAGGGACGGAGCGGTGACACGTGCTACCGCGTGGAGGATCCGGGGTGGGACCGTGCTGATCGAGAGAAGCAAACACAATATCACACGTCGTACGACTCCCTTTATATGCACATTCAGACAGAAAGATTCGTGTCGCCCAGGGCCGGAGGTGAGAAAGGGCACAGGTTTTCTTTTTAGGGTGACAGAAATGACGTAAAGCAAGAATGTGGTCATGGTCCCACAGCTGTGCGGGTCTAGAAGTACCCAGTGAGTCGGACACTGAAAACAAGTACATTTTATGATGTGTGAATTAAGCTTAACAAAACAATGCCAAAAAGTGAAGTGACAAAGAAAAGGACATTATTTGTGGAGTGTCCTGACTGCCACCCCGAAGAGTTCAGTCTTCTCAAGCTGGCCGTGTTTACCTCTCTTTAGGATTAAAATTATGCAGAACATCGGAGTTACGTTTATTAAGACCGGCCAGTATTCCGATGCCATCAACTCCTTTGAGCACGTCATGAGCGTGGCGCCGAGCCTGAAGGCCGGCTTCAACCTCATCCTCAGTTACTTTGCCATTGGAGATCGGGAAAAAATGAAGAAGGCGTTCCAGAAATTGATTGCTGTTCCACTAGAAATCGATGAGGATGATAAGTATATTTCGCCAAGCGTGAGTATGAGGAGGCCGCGCGAAGCCGTTCCGCTCCCAGAGACGAAAGGGCAGCAGTGGGTGGCGGGTTCCTCAGCCTGCATTAACGTGCTGCTGTGTGACTAAGTTTAATGAATGCACTTTATCGTTTCATTTGTTATGTAAACTAGGTCTAGAATGGGACTCCGTCAAAGTAGGCTAGAGGTTATAGTTAAAATAGACTGTACAAATTTAGTCAGAAAATAGGGTTTAGGAAAAATAAGACCGCATGCCATTCTCTAAGAGTAAAATCTTGACCAAGGAGCCCCAAGCTTGCGTCCCTCTTACTGTATCGAGAATGAAAAGAAGTGATTCCTCACCCTTATTCACGGAGTGCGGCGTGACACACGTCCCAGCTTCGGACACCTGAGGAAATGCTATGTCATGTTAACTGGAAAAATGCAGTTACGTGCTCATATGTGAACATAAGCCGGAAGGGAACACACCGAAGTAGAAACAGTAGTTTCTGGGCAATGAGGTTATTTTTTTAATGCTTTTAAAATACTTCTCAGAATTTTACACACAAATTATTGGTATATTGCTATTTTATTGTATATTAAGTCAAACCATATGAAATTGCCTGTATTTATAGATCAAAATGGTATAATAATGTCAGTTTCTTAAGCTGAACTTACGGATTTTTTAAATTTTAAAACTAAACTTAATTTCGAGGTCATTGTAAATTACCAGGTTTTCTTAACACAGTGTAAGGGCATCGCAGCTCAGTGGTTGGCTCCACCATTCAGTACTGATTCTCCTCGTGCCTCAGTCCCTTCATACGTAAAACAGGACTAGTTATAGTAACCTGCATTATAGGGTTGTGAGGATTAAATGAGGTGATGCCTGTGGAATGCTTAGAGCAGCACTCGGAATGTAGTAAGTGCTGGGCGAACGTGAACTACTATATATTCCTTTGTACTGAGAAAAATGTGAAAAAGCCATCTGTGTTTCACGTAGGGAGTAGAGAGATGACTCACACTGAGTAATTGGTAGTCACTGAAGCATTTACATTTGAGTTTAGAACTCCCAATGCCACTCCACTTTGGTGCACTTGGTCCTTTCCAGACCAGCCTTTATCAGCTGCTCAGAATCCGTAGAGTTCACTGGACACTGTGATCAGAAATGAGAAAAAAAAGTTCTACTTTGCATAATAAAAAGCAGCATAAAGAGATTACTCTTTAGTTTATACAAGTAGTTAGTGGTGAGGTTGATCAGAAATCCAAGTTCTTAGTGTTAACTTCTGAATTATTCATTTTTTTTCCAATTTTATTTTCCCAGGATGATCCACATACTAATTTAGTGATTGAAGCTATAAAAAATGATCATCTAAGGCAAATGGAACGTGAAAGGTAATATTTTAGGTACTTAATAATTAAAACTTAATAATGGAGGTTAAATTTTTATAAGACCGTTGAACATGCATTCCGATTACTTCTTTCAGAACTTGTTATGTGCAGCATATTTCTTCATCATTTCTGTGCTTTACTGGATTCTCTTTTCTCCTTCAAAATAATCTCCGTCCGCATGCTGACCCAGTTATTCATAGCTCAGTTACTCTTACTGTTTCTTTGCAATCCACTTCCCCCTGCACTTGGTGCAATATTGGAATTTTGTTTAATTACTTTTTAAAAAAACTTATATCTTCATGTATTTTTGTGCAGCCTCTCAATTAAACTTCAACTCCCAAAGACAAAATTCTATTTATTTCATTTCTTCCTTCATCCAGTATGGCACCTAGTCTCTGCCAAGTACGTTTCGAAAGTTCTAGTATTATTGAATACGCAATCGTGTGTCAGGGGTATATCACATGATAGAGGGCCATTGAAATATTTTTGATTGTAGTAAAATACACGTAACAGAATTTACCGTCTTAAGTGCGTCCTCCTTCATGGTCGGCAGCACTAAGCGTGTTCACGATGGTCTGTCACCACCCCCAAAACTCTCTCCGTCCTCCCAAACTGCCACTCCATGCCCACTGAGCAGCCCTCGTGTCCCCTCGCCTGGCCCCTGACAGCCGCCGCCCTCCAGTCTGTCTCTCTGAACCCGGCTCTTCTAGGGACCTCATGTAAGCGAAGTCGCAGTATTTGTCCTTGTGTGACTGGCTTATTGCATTTAGCACGATGTCCTCAGGCTTATCCCTGTTGTGGCGTGTAACAGGAGCCCCTTCTTAAGGCTCGGTATTATTCCATTGAACATGTGGAGGGCCCTTAATGTTTAGGAATTAGTTTAACATTGAAAATAAAACAGAGCCTTGTACTTCTGGGAGGACAGAGTAGATGTTCTTTTCACTGTTCTTTCCACCAAGCGCCAATTAAAAACTCTGGAAATTATGTATAAAACAAATCTGAGAAGAAAGGTGGAGAGAAGCGGACGGACCAGCAAGGGACCTCAGGGCTGAGGGCAACGTGGCAGTGAGTGCCTGGCCGGTTCCCAGACTTGGCGCTGATGAAGCTGGCAATCGGAACATGGAGGGCACAGGAAACAAACACACAAAAGGCCTGTTCTCTGCAGCCGAAGGACTGGGAAGGGCAGGCCAGCAAGACAGAGAATCTTTAGACAGATGCCATGGAAACTGGCCCTATCCGCCCCCACGCATGCCAGCAAAAGCCAGTGGGAGCCCACATTCCCGCCCTCACAAGGCTGTAAGGAAACACTCAGCACCCTAGAAGGCCCGCCAAAGAGAGGATAGGGCTTTCATCCCAAAGGCCCTGTGTAGCGTCAGTGGACAGCACACAGGAAGCCTGAAGTTGCAGCCCACCCAGCAGTAACGAGGCACTCCTCCCCGTCTCTCCTGGGGTGGTCTCAGGAGAGATAGTGGAGCCTTAGAAATTTCAGCATCACCTGGCAGTAACAAGGCCCCTCAACCAGTGTCAGGAGGGGCCGTGGCAGAGGCAGGAGCTCCTACCCCACCCAGCAGGAACAAGGACCCCTCCAACCCTGGGTGTCAGAGGAGCCCGTGGGGAGAGACTGGACTTTCTCATCTAGCAATAATGAGGTGGTGTCTCTCCTTCCCCTGCTGGAGTGATAGCAAGGAAGCCAGCCAATCACAAAGACTTAAATAAAACTAAGAGTCTCAAAAGTCAGAAATGTCTAAGTTTTGATCAGAAGTCACTCATCAGACCAAGACCCAGGAAGATCTCAAACTGAATGAAAAAAGATGATCCATAGATGCCAACATTGAGATGATAGAGATTTTAGAATTATCTGACAAATTTTAAAGCAACTGTGATAAAAAGGCTTCAACAAGCAATTATGAATATCCTTAAAGAAAATTACAAAATAGAAAAGAAAGAATCTCTGTCGGAGCCAGCCGATGAAGTAATTGAGGGTACCTGAAAGGGGGAGCATGGACTGAGGAAAAGAAAGAAGACAGACAGAACTGCAGGAGGGAGCACAGATACAAGCTGTCAGTGTCTGTGTCCCCGAGTTTATTCAAAACACACTACTTATAGCATTGCAATGAGAAAACAGCAGTCAAGACTCAAGGTCAGCCCAATTACCTGTCCTGCAAAACAGATGCAGTTCTCACAACTCCCTTCTTTGAAAGCACTGAGTGATTAAAATAGTTTTAGTACCACTTATCTCAAAGCTCGCCAATTTAGCTCAGCTCCATAGTTTATCTCAAAGCTGGCCAATTTAGCTCAGCTCCCAACAGGCAGCTTGGTATTGTTAGAAATTTAAAGACAAAGTGTTGAGACAGAGAAAAACAATGGGGAAAGCAATTAGAATGACAGCAGACAAGTTTGAAAGCCGCAACCTAAGCTCCCAGCTCAAGAACCTAGGAAAAGAAGAGCAAAAGCAACCCAAAGGAAGCGGAGGGAAGCAATAAAGAATAGAAATCGCTGACATTGAAAAGAGAGGAACAGTAGAGGACATAAGTGAAATACTTCTAAGAAAACCGACAAAAAAGAGAACACACAAATTACCAACATCAGGAACCAGACGAGCTCTCGCCACTGACCCTGCAGACGTAGAAAGAGCAGTAGGCAACGCAGGCACCCCACACGTAAATCTGACAGCTTAGACGAGAGAGACCACTTCTTTCGAAAACACAAGTTGCCACAACTCACCTAATATGAAATAGATCATTGGAAGAGCCCTGTAAGTATTATGGAAATTGGATTATAATTTTAAAGCTACGAAAAAAGTAATCTCTAGGCCCATCTGGTTTTATTAGAGAATTCTAGCAAATGTTGAAAGAAGAATTAACATCATTTCTATGGAAGTCTCTTCTATAGAAAGAGAATTCTAGCAAATGTTGAAAGAAGAATTCTAGCAAATGTTGAAAGAAGAATTAACATCATTTCTATACGGTCTCTTCCAGAAAATAGTTCATTTTATGAAGCTAGTATTATGCTGTTACCAAAATAAGACAAAGACAGTACCAAAAAAAAAAAAAAAAAAAAAAAAAGAAGGGGGGTCTAAAACTAAATCT